CAGCATAGGAGGGTTACGGGGTTAATTTAGGGGCACATTTATGAGACAAACTGGTGCATTTTAGCTACCTGCGCCTGCTAATTTCGAGCCGAGGAATGTCTATGTGGTCAAGGATGAGCGGGAATGGGACCTTCACATACAACAGGTGAAGATAGTACATCAGGGCACAACAACACCAAACAGACGACTGACCTAATCACTCTCTTGGCAAGTAAATAGAGCTACCAGTCAAATTGGTCCTCAACTGTCCAGAGAAGCCTCAAGATATCAGTGAATATATGCCCTGCAAAAGAAGTAAAAAATGGAGGAGGCTCATGAAAAAAGCAAGAAATTATCTCCAAAAAAGCAGTAGAACCTCAGAGATTGAAAAGACTACAAGTACATGCAAGCATCGGGTTTGGAGTGCCTTTTACCAGGGACAGCTGTGATTCTGACCACAGAACAAAGAAATGTTGGGATGGCCAAGGTGAGAAGTGCCAGACTGCAAATGGTAACTGGAGTGATCAGTGATGTGAATGTCAGGGTCAAACAAGGACCATCCTGTATGGCCAAAGTGCTGCATGTTGGCCACCTTAAGCACTCCCAAAGCACCCTTAACAATTCCATGTGAAGGTCAAAGAGGTAAACTTCATAGCAACCTCCTGGCCCATGGGGTCATGTCCCCCTAAGGGTTGTAAGTTTACAGCGATATCCAAAAGGTGTTGCTGAGGCTAGACGTAACAGAACAATAGGTAAGCCACAGCAAAGTTGCTGCAGCTTCTTCCCATAGACTTATGTACTTCTCTAAGCCTTAGCCAGTTGATTTGCACATGGTCTCTGTTTGAACAAGTAGACACGTACAAACAAAACATGGTACTTAGCAACTGCATTCTGTTCTTTACACATTGCAATACCTGTTGGCTATTCGAGTTGAGTTTTCTTGAAGTGAGCTCTTTTGTAAAGCATTTCAGAAGTTAAGACATTAGAAAGTGCCATGGCCAAATGTAAGAGCAAAAATATGATTTCTAAACAGATGATGAACATTACTGAAAAGGGAGTTTTTATACTGTACCTGGTGTTTTCTCCACCCACTAGTCTTGATCCTCATCACTGTCAGAGTTGCTCATTCTGACGGTGAGCAACTCAAGTCTTTCCTGGAACTTGATTTTCTTTAAAGGCTTACTTTTTTATTCTGTTGGAAAAACAAAAAGGAGATAAAAGAAACATCACTCACTCAAAGTCTGAGTTCTGGCAGCTTGCTCTTGTACATGCATGTTCACGAACAGCTCGATTTATTGTTCATGGGTTGGCCGTATGTCCATACATGTATAGACCTATGTTCTTCGAAGGTTAATAGTTTGGACAACTGGGCTGAATTCTTTTGTATTTAAAAAGAAACAAATTTTCTGTGTTATGGAAAATTATAAATGTTCATTTTGTGAAACCTCCCATTGCTTTGGCTTTGTAAGCCATCTCACTATTTTTTGCAGCTGTTCAAAAATCGAAATCCTACAAGTTTTCTGTGTATGTTCCTGTAAAACACGGATGAGGTAGTGTGATCCTGCTCCGAGAGCAGCATTCTTGGGTTGTGTTCCCACTGTTCGAGTACGAGAACAAGCAACCTGTGTCAAGAACAGCCCATCCAAACTCGACCAAAGAGCTGACTCCAGCTTTGACAACAGAGCAGTGATTTTCATTACAAAAATAAGAAAGAAAAGGAGGGAATTTAACCCTCCATTTTCTTCACCTTGCCTTGTTTTTAGCTGAGTTTGGATTTTGTTGAATTTTTCCTTCTTCTCCAAAGCAAATAAAAAAAATAACCCACAGACAAATCCAGAAATCTGCGCATTGAATTACCAAATTTGTTGGACACTGTAAGTCACAATGCAGAGTTTTTGTATGGAACTCCTACAATTTTTCTGTTATCTAGAATCTTTCACACAGTCTCTGGACAAGGTACATACCTTCACCATTAGAGTCATCTTTGCCATTCCCTGTGAGGCCAAACTCGTACGAGCTGACAGAGTCAAGACAAAATAATGATAAAAGTTTTAAAGATACAAGGACAGTATAGAAAGACCATGTTTCCTAGGAACTTTCCCGAATCCTCAAAAATCCTCCCAAAATGGTATTTCCTCCACCACATTTAGTGTGGGTTGGGTCTACTAGAGAATACATGTACCTACCCAAACAGTCACTACATAAGCAAATTTCCCAGGTGCCTATTATTGTTTGCTGAAAGGATTTGATCATGCGTAAAGCACCCTGACCTCCCACAATGCAACGCAGCTTTGCCGCCATGATCGGCCTTCTTTTCAAAGCGACATCGAAGGGTCGGAGCCAAAGTGGGGAGGATGGGTGGGAGAGCACTGTTTGGGTAGGTATTCTCTAGTAGACCTGACCCACACTAAATGTGGGGGAGGAGTCTACTGTGCTCTACCTACCCAAATAGTCACTACATATGCAGAGTAGCACCGATCTAGGAGGAGGGTTGGCTACGACAAGAAATAATAGTCATGAGCACAAAAAATATGCACACATACTTAAAGTTAGTACCAAATTTATGCATTGGGAGGTAAATAAAGACCAAACTCAACAGACAGGAATCTTAAAGCTGACTGTCCCTTTGTTCGGTCAGGAGATAATTCCTTTGACCTCTGCACTGCTGACAGTAGGACCACCTTGCCATGTGCTGAGTCACTCTGCAAGACATCCCTTAGATAGCAGGAGGTGAATGTAGAGGGAGTTTTGCAGCGTGCAGCCTTACAGATGTCTGCAATGGAATCCCAGAGAAGTAAGACCAAGAAGTAGATACAGCTCTAACATCATGGGTTCTGATAAACTGCCGACTCTGGTTATCGGAGTGTGTTGGCCAGTCTAAATTAGCAATTTAATAGCTGAGACTATCCAGCAGGCTATGGTGTCTCTCGCTGCTGGTCAGAGTGGATTGGTAGAAGTAATTAGAAGTTGGGAAATTGCACCTCTCAGATTCTTGGTTTTAGATAGATGCCACTTCAGTGTACGAATCGGGCACCAGAGCTTGTCTGCGTATTCTCCTGTATGCGAAGCAATAGTCGGAACAAAAATGTCCGGTGGATCAAAGGAAGAAGGCTGGTTTTGGTTAGGAAGATAATAAATGGAATAAGGCGTACACCCTGTGGCTCCCAACGTAGGTGTCCCTCAGCAATTGAAAGGGCTTGCAGTTCGGAGCTCCTCCTGGAAGTGGCCACGGCTAAAAGAAAGGCTAACTTAACTCTGGCATGTAGTAGGGTGGCATTACCTAAAGTTTTGAAGGGGGCACCTGTGAGCATCCTTAGAACTTTGCTTAAATCCTATGACATGACTAAGCGTTTTACATGTGGGCGCTCAATAAACGTACCACACAGGAGATGATGAAGGGCAGTGGTATCGGATACAGTGAAGTCATCTATAAAACCAGAATGTATAGCGGCTAAGGCCGATCTAAAGTTGCAGATCATGGAAACTTGTAGGCCCAAATTGAAAAGGTACATAAAAACTCCGCAACAGTATTTAAAAGAGCCTCGGTTGGAGCCACAGCATGTTCGTCGCACCACGTAGTGAAATGTCGTATTCGGCTGTCATACACGTTGCGGGTTGAAGAGCGTCGTCCTTGTGCGGCCATGGACGCAGCGTCACAAGAAAGCCCCGCAGAGTGGAAGGATTGTTGGACAATGTCCAGCACGTTAAGTGAAGACTTTCTGGTGCTGGATGAAGAAGTCCTGACTTCAGCTGTCGGAGGATGTCTGGCCGTGCCGGAAGGATGAAAAGCCGGTGAACCAGAAGCCTGGTCAGCCTGGGGAACCAAAGCTGAAGCAGCCAGAAAAGGGTGATGGGTAGAATCCGTTCGCGTTCTATCTTGGATATGACCTGTGGAACGTGAGAGATGGGAGGAAAGGTGTACGCAAGTAGGCTGGTCCAATTGATCTGTAGGGCATCTGCGGCCTACACTCGCGGGTGAGGCGTTCTGGTGCAAAACACCTGGAGTTGGGCATTGTCTGCTGATGAAAAGAGATCAACGTTGGGTCTCTCTATCGCCAAGAACAGGGATTTGACTATGTCTGCATGAAGGGTCCATTCCGTTGGGTGAATTGTGCCGTGAGACAGAGCGTCTGCTATGGAATTGTCCGGCCCTGCAATGTGGATCGCTTGCATGTTGATTGAGTGATCCATTGCCCAGCAGAAGATTTCCCATGTCAGGACGCACAGTTGGGGAGAGCATGCACCGCCTTGATGATTGATGTACGCTACCACTGTGGAGTTGTCTGAGGGGATCAGGCAATCTTACTTTTATGTGCGTGAGGAAATGATGTAGGGTATTGAAGACAGCCTGAAATTCCAATACACTGATGTGGTTTGTTCGGAACTCGGTGCTCCAGGTCCCGGATACTTGATGCAGAGGAAGGGATGCCCCCCCCTTCCGAAAGATGACGTATCGGTTTAAATGACTATGTCTGGTTTGGTTCGCCGAAAGGGGAGTCCGGCGAGTAAGTGGTCCTTTTTAGCCACCATAGTAGATGTTGACGGACATCGTCTGAGACATGAGCTGGCAAATCGATGGGTTTTACCTTGTGCCGGTAGTAGGAGAGCAGATGGATCTGAAGCGGTCTCATTTGGAGTCTGCACCATGGTATTAGGTCCACCACACTGGCCATTAAGCCGAGAAGACGAAGCCAAGCAAGGGCGGTTGGTGACTGCGACGAACGGAAAAGAGAAACACAGTCTTGAGGATGGATTACTTGGTCGATCGTTGGCTTAATTATACCCCAGCGGAGATCGAGTATCACCCCTAGATACGTTGGAAGCTGGGATGGCATCAGGTTCGATTTTTTGTGGTTGATAAGAAAATCAAGAAGGGAAGTGAGGTTGCAGGTGAAACGGGTTGCGGCTAGGGCTTCGTCTCAAGATCGGCCCACGATCAACCAGTCGTCTAAGTACTGGAAAATTAAAACGTCTAGTTGGCGTAGATAAGCTGCAACGGTCTTGGCAATTCACGTGAAGACCCTGGGTGAAGTTCTGTGGCCCCATGCATGATCCTGATACGCCACATTTTCAAACTTTTTGAGTTAGATAGTTAGGGTAATATCATATCTTTATTTGCTAAAAATCTCAACAGCTAGGGTGGCCTATTTTTGAAATATAGAGGGCAGTATTATTCTGACCAAACAAGAATTCCAAGAAGCAAAACCTTAAACTAGATTTTTTTTTTCAGTTTCATGTCTGTGTGGCATATCAGGTTCATGCATGGGGCCACAGAGTTGATAGGCCGAATGGCAGGGCCCAGAATTCGTAAGCTCTCCCTTTGTACATGAATCGGAGGAACTTGCGGTCCTGTTCGTAAATGGGTACATGGAGATACTCATCGCGAAGATCGATTGACGGGGCCCAGGACGGAACTGGTAGGGATTGTACCACTGTCAAGATAGTTTCCATACGAAACTTCTTTGGACGTATGAATTTGTTCAATGACTTCTGGTTGATAATAGGACGCAAATGGTCAGTTCCCTTCTTGGTGTGAGGAAGAATGTTGAAAAAACCCCACTCCCATCCTGTGTTGTAGTTGTAGTACTCGTACTCGGTACTCATACTCGAGTACTACTCAAGTACTGTTTTCAGAGAACTCGTACTCATACTTGTACTCTGACATCCAAGCACTCGCACTCGAACTACAGTTCTTGTACTCGGGCTACAAAATACTCGGAACTCGACATCCAAAAATTGTACTCGAGCATCAAAGTACTCGTACTCGATTAACAGCACTTGATAAAAAAAATCCTTAAGTTAACTTACCACACACGGCCATTAAAATAAGGTACAAAAATATCGACTCCAATGACCTGATATTCGATACGGTTCTGACAAAGAGAAGGCTGAACGGGGGACCACTAACGCATACCACCCATTTGACGTCTGTGCGCGTACTTAACCAATCACGTACGCAAATTATATTGTGGTACTCCAGAATAGTCCCGCGATTTACTTGGGCAATGGTAGTCTAGTTCCTGGACCCGAAAATTCTAACAACGAACCCAGCATAACTGAATAATTGAGTCTGGAAAATAGACTTTGCCGCGCCGTGCATGTTGTGTCAACTGCTGCAACGCACGTGTAGTGACCGTGACATTGCTAGCCAGATCACTTGTTCTTGTAGCCATGCCATCTGCATTCGGTGTTTCTTTTACACAGTGGCAGGTCTTAGAGTCTTTAAATTAAGATACAACTACTTTTGAATTAGAAGAACTTGTACTCGTAATTAGAAGTACTTGTACTTGTACTCGGAAGTGCAAGTACTTGTACTCGGAAACCAGTACTTGTACTCGGCTGGCAAAGTACTCACCCTGTCTTTGTACTCGGCAGTCAAATTACTCGGCAGTACTTGGTACTCGGAAAAAAGTACTAGACTACAACACTGCTCCCATCTGGTCAGGTTGAACATGAAGAATAGCCTGTTTTTGAAGAAGGGAATTTATCTCCGACTCCAGCGCCACGTGTTGGTCCTTGTTGTGGGGAACAGGAGTCAGTCGTAGTGTTGCCTCGGACGGCGGGGAGCTTGTAAATTTGAGAGAATATCCGTGGACAAGAGTTGAGAAGACCCAGGTGATGTTTTTCCAGAGCCCTGTGAACTGTTCAAGGCAGCCGTCGACGGGTTCGGAAATGGTGGTGACTGAAGGCAAAACGGAACAGTCACCTGCGATGTCCCCAGAAAGAACAGGGGGCACGATGAATTCCCACGGCGCTGGAAGGTTTGATTCACCTTGGGAGTGACACGGGATGAAGCTCGGCATTGGCTCGATTGTTAAAAAGGCCGATGAAAAGGGCGACGCATCAAAAAAGTCTGGTTTGAAGTGGGCCTGACTTGGCTGGTACTACGTTGCTGAGGTCACTGCGGAGTCAAAGACGGTGACACACGGAGGGATATTTTCTTGGCCGTATCAATCTGCTTAGTCTCCATGTCCACCATGTCAACAAACTTGCCGGTGAAAAGGCCTTCTCCGAACAGCGGCAGTTGCTGAAGGCGAGATCTAACTCCCTTGTAGAGAATATGCATCACATCGAGGGCACTGGATCTTCTCGTTGAAGTTACCAGACAGGATATTCGAACGACCTGTTCGAATACGTTATTCAGTCCTTCGTCAAGGCCACGGAGTGCTAGGGCTGCAAAATCTGGGGAGACTGGGGAATTTTTCCTCGCAAGCACGGGCGATGTACTCCGATAAAAGGAGAAGAAAGGCCGGGCAGCGGAGCCCAAAGAGGGAAGATTTGTCTAGCTTTGTGAGCGTGGGTTCTAGCAGGGACTTGTCTTTATTCCAGTTTGTCGCCTTAGCAGACGTTTTTCCCAAATCAGTGGAGATTTTGTCTTTGACCACCTCGGGGAGGTCTGGGACCGACAAGAAATTCTGGAAATCTTCCAGCGAGAAAAAATAAAACGCTGTCCCTCAGTTGGAGAGAGCAGGCCATTGATTAGACTTATCAAGGGACTTAAAGATTTCCACACATGAGCGATCAAGTGGAAGTTTAGGAAAAATAGGTCACGTAGACTCCATTCAAGCCGTATGGCATTTGAACGAGCTGTGGCTAGTGTCCTCTTCAGGCGGAGTGGCTGATGGCAGGCTGAGCTCTTGAATCATATCCTGCTGGAGGAGCCGGAGGCGGCCCTTAGACGGAGTGAGGGCGCTGACGGAATCAACTTCGTCCTTGTCAGAGGAAAATGCTGGTCGCATGGTCAAAGACACAGCCGTGCCCATGGGGGGCGGCCCGCTCCGACGGCCCGGAAATGCCCTGCTGTTGTGACTCCGGTGTGGAACTCCATCCCGTGTCATAATGGCTTTCAGCCGAAGGAGGTGGAAGGGTCTGGGCTGCCAGGAACGGGTCCGGGGTGGTGGAGGGGGAGGATGGAAGTCAGGGCTTCATTAATGGATAGAAAGGCCGACATCCACTGCTTGGACTTAGGCCCCTGATGATTGGAGCGGTGCCTCTTCTTGGATTTTGAAGAACTTGATGAAGAAGGGGAGCATTTACGTTTCCCAGAAGTGGGTGACCCGATGGCAGTGGTGGCAGTCGGGGCCATGGGCGGCAGAACACCAGGGGAGTGTTCCCGCTCGGGGTCGGCGGGAACTGCAGAGTTTTGGGGGAACCTCTCGAGGGACTAGGAGAGGTAAGGTCCGATGACCAGGTGATGCCGAGTTGAAAGCCCGAGCCTCGAATGGGCTGCGGTGATTTGAAGCCCTGGTGGCGTAAAAGCCTAAAAGGCTGCAGGTCATTGTGGCTCAGTGGTGCACCAGGCGGGGTGGGCCCCGGCCCTTGTGAGGAGCCCGACCCGGAGGCTTCGATACCTGGGCGAGCAGGAGTACGCCCGGAGACTGCTGGAGAAGTAGTCTTCTTGGCTGACGTTGACCGGCGGGTGGTGTTCTTCAGAGTTGCCGGGGGAACGCTGGCTCGAACCCCGCGTGGGTTTCCCTTGGGCCCTGGCAGTCAAAGGGCGTGGCGTACAATAACGGTAGGGCGGGCCCGGGAGACGTCTGTTGGGGTACTCTCTCGGGAGTCCTGGCTGGCTTGCTAGGCCAGCGATCGACCAAGGAGACAGGGTCCTTGCCAGATCCTGGCGGTGTCCCTGCTCGGGTCTTCCACAGTCAACCTAGGAGCTTCCCCATCAGCTCCATGGGGCCGAACGAACCAGGGGGCCTGGCCAGATCCTGGCTGGAACCCCCTGGCCAACGGCAAGGCCTTTTCCTCATCTCAGTAGCCAAAGAAGACAGGGGAGTATGACAAATCCTGACAGCAACCCCCTGAAATCAACCGAATAAGGCCTATAATTAAATGGTAAGGCAGACACGGGCGTAGCTGAGTCGAACCTCGTAGTACCGACAATAAACACCTGCAGGATGCACATAAGAAAACACAAAAAATATACACGAGAGAATACTCTAGCCAACAAACAGGTAAAATTCAAGGTAATATTTAATTCACAAAGGTGATCAAATTTACAGAAAACCGTGTAGCAAAAAACGGAAGTTCAAAAAATTAAGATTCCTTGAAAGGCACGTCTGTTACGTTATGGCGCTGAGAAAAGAAGGACGATTGTGGTGGCAAAGCCGCGTTGCATTGTGGGAGGTCAGGGTGCACTATGCAAGATCAAATCCTTTCAGTGAACAATAATAGGTGCCTGGGAAATTTGCATATATGTAGTGATTGTTTGGGTAGGTAGAGCACAGTAGACCTCTAAAATTTCAGAAATTTCAAGAATGAAATCTAAGTGGCTGGGCTTGCCTCTACCTTCCCAAGTCCTACGAAATCCTCCATGAATCCCCAGGTGGATTTTGTAGGATCTGGCAAGGTTGGCATTAAGAAAGATAAAAGAGCAAACTAAATTACAGGAGAAAATATGTAACCTTACAGGGATAAAGTTGAGTCTGTCAATCCAATTAGTCACTTTATGCTGGGAAGGAACTTACTCAGGTTCTACTCTGTCAGGTGATGCTGCCCACACATCAGGCACTCTTTACTTTGAGATCTTTTCTTGCTCTGACCTCCTCCTATGAGAAGCACAATGTATCACTTAAGCTTTTTATGTTGTCACTATAACATTCTTCCATAAACATGGTTTCAAGTTCCTACATGTATAAAGATCACAATCAAGACTAGGTGACAAGCCCCCACCCCCAAAAAATTGTTCCTTATTAAATTTGTCCCCTTTTCAAGGAAATAATGTTTGCTTTTCTAACTTTTGAGGCATATTCTGAGTTTCTAAATATAAAAAAAAAAGTTTGGAATTTCCCAAGCTTTCAGTCTGCAAAACCTCTTCTTAATGTGAAGTTGCCAGATTGTCTTTTTTTGTGGAGCCATGTGGAGCCATATTAGGAATACACGTATATCGACACAAGATGGGCCTTTACAACAAACCACATATACATGTATTTGTAGAGATGTTTAGTGAATTCTCTGCAGGTATAAAAGTGAAGAAAATGAAAACCACCCAAACTGTGATTGTAAAATGCTGAAAGGGATGATTTAAACTTAGTAATTCAGAAAAGTTATTGATTGTGAATAGAAAAAATAGTTCCCTGACATACATGTACATCTAGAAGAATCGTTTTAGTGGGTCCAGTGCCTCTTGTCTCCAGTCAGTTGATGATCTCCAGTTTGAGTTGTTCTCCAAGGTCATTCTATCAGATGTCATCTTGGTGTTTACTGTCACAGTCTCTGTCACCTGTGTGGCCTTGACCACACCTCCGGTCCTCTGACTTCTCCCATTGTTCACGTGAGTGGATGTGAAACTGGGACTTTCTGGGCCGCAAACACTCCTCGGGGAGATCTCTGTCTTGTGAATGATCTCTGCGGTAGTTGCAATGGTGGTGATGCAAGGGGCTGACATCTCTACCTTTCAACGTAGCCCATGAAGTGTGAAGTGTCATCCAGAAATCTGGGCTCATATACATGTTAAGCTAGTGCCTGTTTGCCGAGAAATATATGTACATGTACTGATAAAGCGAGGACGGGAGAGAGGCAAGACAGACACACGTCAAGTCAATGTCAAGCGATCGTGAATGGTGTCCCTATATTTACATCAAGACAGGATGAGGTTATGAAAGTGGCTAAGAAAGTGGCCTGTCCTTTTGTCTCCGTTCCCAGACCAAATATAAACAGTACATAAAATGAGAAAAATCATCTTGCTGGAGAGAATACAGAAATGAAATGCACTGATTTGCACTGAACTTGTGATACGCTGGTTCTACGTACAAGAATTATAAAAATGACCTTGAATAAAGAGGGTACAGGCTTACGGTATGTAACAAATGGCAAGGACTACAGTACATCGTCTACACGTACAGTGTGTTCAGTTCTGCATCTCCTTCAATTCTACTGTTGGATTTATAACAGCCAAAAATAAACACAGACAATTTTTCAAAAGCTTGAAATAAGTACATGTACATGTGTGATTGCCCTCAATTATGCAGTGGAATGGTAACCTACATGTACCATTACTCACCTGATCTTACATCCTGCAATTAGTTTCTTCTTGGCATTTAAAGAACATTTGTTTTCAAGTCATGCACATGATGGTGCCGAGTTACAAGCCCGTATTCTGAAGACAGTCAACACCTTGTGCAACAATCCAGTAGTGATGAGACAAGCTGTCCAAGAAGAAATGTAAAATTTGTGCATTATCAGTTCACCATGTTCACTGCTGATGAGTACCTCTCCCTCGAAATCCCCCCCCCTGGAAAAAGGCATCCATTTAATCAGAAATATCAGGCAGCAAGAAATACCACTTAGTTGTGAATTACTTTCAATAAAAATGACTTTCGAATCTGAACTTTTTCCCAACAGAAATTAATGCGCGTGAAATCACGCAGTCATGATCTGGGTCAGGAAGCATGTTGATTGGCCAGTATTTCTGAGAATTACTGAACGCTGTTGTTAACAATCATGCCAATATGATCCTTTGATACAAATGGGCAGCCCAAGTGGATGTCCCAAGACTTTGCAATGTTCAGGAATCATAGATATTCATTACCTAGTGTACACCAAAGCATGGCAAAATCCAGAAAAATCCTGACAGGCCTACTTTCTCATCAAGAATCAGGTAACCAATGGATTTTTTTGGGGGGGGATTTTTAACCAATGGATGAAAATTTTTTGCAGGAGCTACATGTATTTAGACATGCAGACGATAGCCGGTTATTTAACATGTCTAGAACCTGAAAACAAATGGTCATGCAGCGAGCTTGTGGAACCCTCACAAGACCTGTCTATGGGGACTTGTAGGGCCACAATAGTATGTTTGATAATTTTGCAAAGAATGATTTCTACTGGAAACCACCCCCAATTTCCCTGCTACATTTGCCTTTTTGGGGATGTGTTCCTGATGGCTGATAATAAACATTTCCAAGTGAGTGGATGAACCTCCAGGCTTCTTCTGGCTTTCCTTCCCAGCTTTACAGCCCAGCATACAGTGCGTGCCCACCATATCAATCCAAAGGCACACACAGGATGGCAGCGCAGTGAAAACAACCTACATGTACCACCCCTCCCCCCCGCTTCTGAAAATGGTTGAGCCATAATACAGTGTGATGCATTCATGTACGAACATGACCAAGGGTGCAGTGTGTTTGGAGGAGAATGAGAGAATGGCGAGCAAAAGGCTCAATTCAAAAAATGGTCAGTTTTGATTGAGAAAGTTGAATTTTGATTGAAGTACACGGTAGAGGCAGTATCACAACCAGAAAAAGGTCAACTTATAATGATGTTTACGTTCATGTACGTCAACATTTGGCTCCCAAGGTCATATGGCGTCACTGTGAAACATGAAGTACATTGTACCCGGTACATGTACCCAGCATCTGCCCACAACGTGCACGTACGCTTTGACACGTATACGTGTGTAACAGTCTTCGTTTGATTCTTGAAACTAAATGTGTTTGATCATGGAATATACAGTACAACTGAAGTGCAAAAAAAAAAAAAAAAATCTGTACAAATAATTCGTATGTTTTCATTTCTAAGAAAAACTATATTCTTTGTCAGCTAGAACTAGGCTCGAAGTTTCATTATAATCCAAGCATACATGTACATGTAATGCAGAGTGGTTTTTGTCCGTTTTTGCATATGTTCTGCAGTGCTCATCCCCAGTCTTCTTCTTTTAATTTCCCTGCAACTCAGCATGTACATGTATATAGTGAAAGCTTCATCCACCGCAAATTATATTCCTTTTAGAAAACTGTACACAAACAAAAACATTATTGGAAAAGGCTATTTTTCTCATGGGATGACAGAATTTTTTTGCTCTGGGGTTTGTGGGGGGACCATATACCGGTATGTGTTTGTTGCCATTTGTTTAGCCATTCAGTCTCGGTGTTTTGTCTTTAACTGTCCTTTACCAAAACAAAGATTCTTACAGGATCCTTCCAGATCCTGTGATGTACTTTTAGGGGACTTCCCAACCTTCAGACATAGGCCCATTAAAATATGAAAAAAAAAGTTTAAATACATGTAGCAATGGCGGGGGGGGAGGAAGGGAGGGAAGGAGGCTTCTTTTGAGACAAAGCAGTTCACAGACGATTTTTCAGAATTTGTGTAGGCCTACACCACATGTACGCCATGTCCATTTAGATGGAGAAGTGGTAAGTACTATGTACATGTACATCAGCAGACTGCTTTATGAGTTTTAACATGTTCAAGGAAAATCAATTTTTGTGAGTTTGGGTCTCTTCCCAAGGGGCACTTACATCATAGAAGACTCAACCGCAGTTTGAGAATGCAGCTGTGGGAGTTTGCCACATGAGCTTATAAATTCTTTCATCGCACGATGTTCAGACATGTCAGAGAGGCCTGGTTTAAGTATAACAACACTTTTTGTAACGCCATGCGGATTATCAATGAAATGGTGATTCGGCAAAAATATTTGAGCTTTGCGTTGCATTCCTCACGATAAGCACACACAATGGAACTACCGTAAATGAAATACATGTAGTTTGATGTGTTGCTTGCCATGAATGCATCTGGATAAAAACCTGAAGAATTGTGTATAATGTAGTTGTCTTGATTGTTTTTTATTCTGTATCGGATGGACAATGCACTCATTTAAAACAGGAAACAATGTGCTAACCCATTTCTTCTCTTAAATGTACATGTAAATCTCTGGAAATAGCTTTAGCTACATGTATGTGTATTGGCCTACCCGCCCCACATAAATGAAAAAAAAAATGTGGAGACTACATGTACATGTAGACCACGAACAGCAATGTTATGATATTCATTCACAGCATGTACTTGTACGTAAACGTGTACCATTAAGTTACAGCGACCTTTTTTGAAGGGGGGGGTGTACAAAACCACAAATGCTAACACAAGCCTATTTCTGGAAGATAATGTACATGTAACTTTGCTCAGAAATTAACGTACATGTAATGTAATGTTGTCGAGTCATTCTTATTTGGGAAGATATTAGGATTCAAAGTTTGTGACAATCCTGCAGTTTGGATTTCAGGCATTTTAGATATGCCTTGAAGTTGGGCTGTGGTTGCAACAGATAAGAGGCAGATTGTAAAAGCGAGCCACTACAGCCCTATAATTTGAGGGGCTACACTAACAGGACTAAGTACACAGCTTAGTCAAGTTAGTGATCCCCATAGTCAATAATAAACATTAGCACACAAACACATAGCATAAGTAAGAATATAGGAATAACATAATTAAAAATCTACCCTGCAGCTGCCTTGTAGTACTGCTGTACGTAGCATTTTCCTCGCTCAAAAAGTTCATGAAGTTGTAACTTGTTCACTTGTAAGTTGTACTCGCACGCACGCGCAGTATACCACTCGCCCAGACCACAAGCGCCCTCTTTTGAGTTAGATTAGTCTTTTCGTCAAGACGTTGTTGTAGATGCTCTCAAAAACCTGTCGCCGAGAGAGGGCGCTCCTGTGCTTGTGCAGTTAGTATACACATCAATCGTTACACGTTGTTACAATGAGCGATGATTCACGTACATGTATTGTTCAATCAACTGGGTGGAGTCACCTAGATCGGTCATTTTTAATTAATTGATTTAATTTTGATTGATTTAGATTTTGAAAATATTACCTGTCTGAGGTAAGTGTGGCGTTGCATAATAGAAAAGATAAGGGCTTTTCATTTTTTCTTAGGCCTAGCAGTAGTATACGGTGAGACCTTTTTGCTGTCATGGCTGGAGGCACTTATGGCAGTAGGCCTAGTATAGGATACACAGGGAGGCCCAGTGCCAAAGCCGTGACTGCCAGACTAAGCCTTTTCTTGTTGTTAAAATACATCGAGGCTATCAATAATTTTCCTAGTGGCCCCTGAGTGTAATAATTTATACTAACGCTCCACTCAGTAGAGTGAAATCAAATTAATGTTTGACATGGCTAGTGAGAGAGCGAGAGTTTCATCAGACCATCGCTTGACCGTGACACCCTGTGAACAAACCAATAAAAGACTGGTCTGACATACCTGAAATTTGTCAAATTATTTTTTAAATAAATTTGATTTCCACTGTAAGGGAAAATTGGTAATGTCTGTACATCACTATACATACATGTAACTCTTACCCTTCATGCCCGTGGCAGAGCTGCTGAGTCTGTAGACATTTTCTTGTTTATGTGGCCTAGTGTGGCTTGGTTTGACTTTTCACCTCTAACCCCTTGCTAGAGCTGAATTTTACCTCAGATTTTACAATAACTGACAAGTTATCGAGGTCTCAGCATTCCCATGTATAAATCGTGAGGTTATGTACCTGCTACAAAGTTCTAATGGAATTCTATTCTGGCCTGATTTTCAGTTTTTTTTTCTGACGTGCATAAGCCAGAACGAAATCTTTTAAAATAGTATTTCTCTTACAATATTTTATTTTGAATTTTGGTCTAATTTTTATGACAGAAATTTTTCCAAAAGGTTCAACAATACCATGTATTGTGACGACAGTACCAGTATGTAACAGAATGAATTTGAAGTTTTTCAACAAAGATTTGGCAACACTGTATGAGGAAAGTTGAGGAAAATGTTGAGTGCGCCCTGTTAGGGGACTACTCTTTATGCCTTGTCAAATTGTAAAAATAATTAAGAATCAAGAAAAGGAAGTTCAAAGAAAAGCATATGCAGTGAAACTTGTAGTTGACAATCAGTAATATCTTTCCATAATTATCTATGGAAAATTTGAATTGAGACATTTTAATCAGTTTTGAAAAAATTGAACATGGGGTATCAGGAGAAGGCATCACCATAAGTGTTACACTGTTACTTATTTTGCTTTACACTTTGCAGGTTCTGGCCTCATGCTACAGTATAGGAACCAGTCAACCATCTGTTGCTTCCAACTGCACATGTACATATACACTGCGTGTTCTCGCGTCAGCTTCAGAAGATGTAGCTACCACAGTTACCTGGATTTACCCGAATGTCACCAATCTCTAAAGCAGACATCAAAGCCTTCCAGAATGTCATCTGTCATGAGATGATTAACTATGAACTCAGCCAACCAGCGAGGACAAACTAAGAATAATCAGGGGATGAGTAGATCCCAAAATAAACAGTGCCGTTCCTTCTGCAATACTTGATTGAGTTTTCTTTAAGAAAAACAAAAATTGTCAACAAGTCAAGCCATCCAGCATTATGCATCACTCATCTGGCTCCAGATACAGGCAGCGGTCGGCTGAGGAACGGATCCGTCGGAACGTTACCAACCCGGCCTACGTGACGGAGATCAGCCAGTCCGACTACAGGGTGTCGCCGGCCGAGGCACTGACCAAAATGAAGATGTTGGAGCACTGCAATGCGGCCGTCATCAATCCAGTATTCCTGCCGCAGACTGATCTTCCCGTTGACGATCCAGTGAGCCTGGTTATAATTAAGGAGAATGTTACATCTCAATCATATATGTAGTTGGGCCGATCCCAACTGTAAGGGGGCTATTCCCAACTACCCAGTCCAGGGGCGTTGTGTACCTCTACCAGCAAGGAGGAGCCGGGCTGGTTGGAAGTGTGTCAACTGGTCTCGTCCAATGCACAAGCGAAACCGCACATTCAAACATAAATTGGTCATGCGTGCTTAACACTTCCCGTGCCAAATGCGCATAAACCTGTGTGCACATGTTGTGAGGTCCCACCAAGGGACTGTCATTGCTATGTAAAACATGTCCTCTTGGTAGCTCGGAGCAGATACAGGGCCAACCATTGTTCTAAAGTTTGGCTAGCCAATTTGGTCCAGCTATGGTATAATGTGCTGGTGTTTGCCATGGTGCAACACATCACACACAGATTCTGTATCTTGATTGGCTATTTAAGCTACATGTACCTTGCTGTAAATAGCCAAAACATGTATATCATTAGCAACCAAAGTACACGTTAATGTTCTATAGAGTACCGAAGTGTGATGTCATTTTCAACCGTGAAGTGTAGTGCAAATGAAAGGGGGTTCTTGTGCTTATGCCTTTTACACTCATAATTGTGTGCATGACGTATTCACTTAGGTACTCTATACCTGTAGCAACCGAAGACCTATGTGCATACTAGCCAGTATTGGGTACGAATGCATGAGCCTTTTTGAAGCATGGCAGACACAATAGGAGGGGGCTGTTTGAAGTTGAACAATTTGAAGTTAACACAAATGATATTTCCCAAACCAAATAGTGCCCTCAAACATACTAATAAGGGTGTATCTGTTATGTCTCACACATACATGTACATGTATGTATTCCCAAGTTGCTAACATGGCTAATGGCTAGAGAACTGGGGTCACACATTTCGTGAAGAGGTAGAGTAGACACTTTTGAACAGTGAATTTTCCAATAAATTTTGTATTCAATTAGGACAACAATTTCATTAATCTCTTTTTAGGTAGATTTTCCAAATAGAATTGTGTAGGAGGTGTTAGGAGACAAATACTGACGGCTTCATTTCGTGGTGGAGTGAAACTAGCCTTCCTAGGTGATCTATGGAGCATAACATTTTCTCTCGGCCTTGCTTTGGGAAAAATCACCTCAGGAGGCCAATTTTACTACACCAACTGTCAATAGCTCTATATTATACAACACCTAAACAACTCCCCATTGTCAAACATGATGTGTCATTGACATGTACCCCATAAGATAATACTATTTAAGGAATATACTAAACCAAAAGTATATTTCTTTCAGCAGACAAGTTTGATATTTCCAGTCTTTTGAGGAGAGTGCATACATTTGATTTAGTTCTAAAATGTCCTTTTGTTTGTTTGAACTCTGCAGAAAATCAATGATTTTATATGTGCGGATAAGGTTGTGATCAACCCGTTCTTTGGAATGGGTGTGCCAGACTACAGTAAGCTAAGAGCACCACACAACGAGGCTGCACGAACCACAATCCATGCCCCACCTGAGAAGTAAGCTTTATTCAGTTGAAGTCTCCTTGAAAAGCAGAAACAGTAGGAAGCTTCTAGTTTTTTGTTCTTCTATATCTTTGATCCCATTATAATGCCTTGTTAAAATAGGGTCGTTGTGTAGTGCATGTATATCTTTGGTCATAACCACACAGTATGATTTGTTCTATATGTACATGTACATGTCGAGCTAACGTGAAAAGGCTGGGATTCTTAAAAAGTTTGAAGTTGTCAATTACTTTTGCACCCTGTAATTGGAAAATGGTCTAACTCCTCACGGATGTGGCTTTGGAAAGAAGTACATCTGTCCAAGTGTGTGTGTCATAGTTGTGTTTCAGTGTTGAGAGATTGGCTTATCATTTAGTTCTAATGGTTACCTCGTTCCGTTTTTTATTGTGTGTTACATTCAGTTGGGTGGATCAGTTTCCACTGCACAGTGCTGCTTACGAGGGGGATGCTGAAACGATCAAGCAACTCGTCAGCGTTGGTTACCATGCCGACCAGCCAGACATGCACTCGTGGGTGCCGCTTCATTACGCCTGCTGGTAAGACTGTTGAAAATTGCCATTGGTTAGAGAAATCACAAAGTGGCAGTGAATGTTACTAAAGATGGGTTTTTCCAACTTTGGTGTGGGGGAAATTGCTGGCCATATAATCAGTGTTTGTGTTTTGTACAAAGGTTTTTCCCCCGCAAAGTTAGATTTCAGTGTGATGTTTTTAAAAAAGATAAAGAAAAGAATTTATATCTGGAAGTGTGTTTTCCTGATTACTAAAGCTACATTGTTCTTACTTGAAATTTGTCACATAGGAATGGACATGCAGAAGCCGTGATGGCGCTACTGCAGAATGGACGATGCTCACCTAATGCAGAGTAAGTTAATGTTTCCAGATGTTACAGGAATGCAGGGGCCAATTTCATAGAGCTGCTTAAGCACAAAATTTGCTTAAGCGGGAAAAAACTTTGCTTAATAAACAAAGGTTACCAGCTCAAACTCTATCTGATTGTCATGCTAATCTAAAAAACAGCAAAATACAATCCCAAAACAATATACCTCACATGGAGTTTTGGCTGGTTAACTGATTTATCAAGCAAGGTTTTTCGCGGTTAAGCAAATTTTATGCTTAAGCAGCTCTATGAAATTGGCCCCTGCAGGTTTTGTGCATTTCAGCATTAACTGCGTATTGTATAAATAGTAAATTTTTTCACAATTATTCCTCCAGAACCATGAATTGAGCTGATACAGGCACAGCTTGGAAACTTAGTAACCAGGGGACCTTGGGTTCAAATCTCACCTAAGCTAGCATATGAATTTTTGCTCTGAAGCTTTTGGCCTCTGTAAAGACCATGTTACATGAACACAAATGTTGTTGAAAGCTTATAGCTGATATTGATTAATTGCATTGTTTTTAAAGCACGTTGGTTCAAAGTGTAAGCTTCCGCTGATCTCATAGCGTTCAATTCTGAGCTTTTCTGATTTTCAGTTTTGGAACATTTTTGATTGCAGGAATGAGAATGGATCTACTCCTCTCCATTTTGCAGCCTTCCGTGGCCATACGGCTGTTGTACAGTTACTTCTATCACACCCTGATATAGACAAGGTAGGCCCAGCAACTCTGATGGATGGACAAAGTTATATTCAGAGTTTGTCATGGCTCTTTCCAGGAAAACTGGAGTTGAGTTCACAGTCATCTTCATGCTTAATTGGATGAAAAATTGTACATGTTTTTTGCTATTACTGCTCAAATTACTGTAATTTTGAAATACACTAGTGTTAGTCTTCGTGAGCTGCCTTCATTCACTGTGGCACTGAAAACACAACACAGTGTTTGCTATTTCAGTGCTTTATGCACAATTTCTTGTGACCAAATCGTCAAGAAGCCGAGTTTCAGTTTGAGCATGTTTGGCCTTTTTATTTTGGATAAATAAACAGTATGTAGTTTGACCTGGCTCTGAAAAGTAGAAGAGACACATAGTGTAAGGGGAATTTTCAGGGTACTACTTACATGTTGGAAAATTATGCTAACTTTTGCAGACAGATTGTGCTCACTTCAAGCATATCTAATAAACTTAAGTGTTTTTAAAACCTAGGAGCAACAGAAAGTTTGCGTTCTGAATTTGGTTGATCACGGTGGCACGTGAAAGGCCCACTATAGGCTAGAGGGCTATTTTTCAAAACAGAAACAAAAATGATGAAAATGTGATTAAAATGAAAGGCACCTTGACATTAACCTTGTGGTTTGCATATTGGCGGGTTGAATTTAGACGGTGGTTGACAAGGAAGACCGCACTCCTCTGAAGCTGTGCGAGGAATCGCGGCAGAACGAGTGGGAGATGGTGTCAGCTCTTATCAAGGAAGCCACGCTGAAGCCGGTAGGAAACATCTCTGAAACAGGAAGAAAAACAAAGGACTGCATGAAACCCCTTGCTTTCTGTTAACGGATGCTCCCTGGTACCACATTACACAGCAGCTGCCGTCAACTTTGCTGTTGGTTGAAATAATCAGTCACTAACTGTGCACAATCACATGACCCCACACCTTGTTTTAAATGGATTTTGATACGATGCTGTTATCCTTATCCATGGCATTTGGAACATTCCTGAGTCTTTAAAATCTATCTTTTGTGCTTTCTCCTGAAACATTCAGACGACATTAAACCCTGTGTAAACTTGTAGTGGCTAAGCTCTGCCTTCCCTCAAAATCCTTGAAACCTTTGTTGATTTTAATAATTTAGAATGGTCAGGGTTTACTGTTTGAGGAGTAAATGATTTGCATGTATCCTCACACCGTTTGAATGATGGATGTGATGAGATATGTGGGTTTTGACTTGATTTAAATTGATTTGATTGATAGCCGGTGAGAGTCGATATCCACCTGATGGACCTTGATGGATCACATGTGATGTTGGATCTGCCTGCAGGCAGTAATACCACCGTGTCACAACTACTCAAGGTAGGACAGACCTCCAGAATGTCAGGGATTTGATCAAATACTCATGCGCTGAAGTCATATCTCTCTGTGGTCACACTCAACTAAAGCAATACCAAAACTGAAGTTGACTACCAGGCAAAACTTGCTACTGCTGTAAGATAGAGTTCATTGAAAGAAGGGTCATTTTAGGACTCAATTTTACCTGCTTGTTGAAGCAGTATTTGATAAGGCGAATAGAAAGTACAGAAATGTACATTTCTTTCCATATTAAAAGGCTTTAACTTTATAATACACATGTATATACAAATACATGTAACACAGCCCTGGTCATGGAACTTCTGACATGTCTGAAGTTATCAGGGAAGAGTACAGTTATCAATGCTGGGGGTTAATATTCTAAACCATTTAACCACCAGGCCTAATTCCATAAATTTGAACTCCAAACCGTAAAATGTATTTTGGAATGTCCAGCTACATATGCACGTATGAGAAATGTTATCTAAAACTATTTGTGATTTTGTCCTAATTGGTTTATATCACAACAATCCATTGCATTTTTGCAGCAACTGGAATTACCCCGAGGTTGCCAACACGCCTTTGCAATATGGATAGCATCGCAAAGCTTACGTAAGTCGTGTTTATACATGTTGTCAAGCATTAGAAATGTTACCTTGAAAACGGAACATGCTTGCATAAACTGGTAATGCATACTCTAAAAAGTTCAGAATTTTTTTGTCACAAGTCACCAAAGCAACTTTTTTGGCCTTAATAAAATAACCTTGAACCATATTTAACTCCTAACATTTACCGTAACAACTACCGTCATTTTCGGAATACGACATATTTCGGTAACTCAGTTTTTCAGCGAAACATAACAGTACCAATATGCATGTCATGATATGAATGTTCATGCATCTGTATGATATATTTGTTGAGTTGGATGGAGAAACATGAAATTGGAAAAAAAAGAAACTTCAAGGAAAAATTGGAGAGTGGTGCCATTGCAAACTTGACAGTGGTGTGTTATGCTGTTTGGATCCAGATTTGCAGATGAGACCCGAACACAAGCCAGTATTACACGTCAAGCAATGGAGCATGATCATCAGGCAGCTGACCAATTACAACCCGGAGACAGAGCAGCCGCTGCTGTACCTTAGACGGGATGCGCTGCTCACGGTGGACGACGAAAGAGCGGTAAGCAGACAGTATTGCTCAGCATCTCTGGCTGAGCAAATGCCAGCCGGGAACCAGTCAAGGAGCAGTGCGCATTGTATGAAATGTTGGCTGGTAACCCATCTCAGTGAAGCCAGTATCTTCTCTGCTTTGTTACTCAGTTAAATTGGTCCATGCTGTTGGTAAGCCTCCAGTGCTCTTCTTGCTGTAGTTATGGCTTTAAATGATTTGGGGATCTCCCCCAAGGTGGTAGACTGCTTTGACCTGGGTCCAGGTTGTGCAGCTGGAATACAAATAACTGTTCCAATGTGAAGACAAAAAGCAAAACCAAAGTCTAAGCCGAATCCGCTCATTTCAAAAACGCTCAAAAGTTTGGGTGTATTTTCTTTCAGATTTCTTGCCAGAAGTTTCCATTTCTGATGAAGCTAAAGATGTAGACATGAGATCCTTCGGACCTCGGTGTGATATGGGACTTTCAGAAATTTTAAAAACTTTTGTCTAGTGATGTAGCACAAAATCATTACCTGGTGTCCAGTTTCAGATCTTTTATGCATTTCCCACCAGCATCTCATTGTTCAGAACAACTTTCTGCTTGGTTGCCAAGGAAGTATATTGCTGGATGGTTTCTTGACCTACACAAATATCTTGGCTCTTTCAAAAGTGCCATGTCTTCCTTTGTTCAGATTTTGATGCAGTGATTTTTCTCTTTCTCAAGATCAAAGATGCACATGCTGTGAAGATGCTCTTTGATGAGTGCCTCGTCAACATACTCAAAGGCATGTACCCATGCAGCGATGTGGATGCAGTTACATTAGCAGGGCTGTACATGCAGGTATATTTGAAGAAAAAAGCCAGGAAATATCATTCTTATTTTAGTGTATTTCAGGGTGGATTGTGAATTTTACTTCCCCGAGGTGTGTGTGAAGTTGACAAACTATTTCCCTAGTTGAAGCCATATTCAGCTGCCATTAAGACATCAAGAGCAAGGGAAAGGTAGCATGTCCGTGTGCTGCAGTCTGTTTATGTGGCTTGTGCAGGCGGCGCTGATGCACGTGTACATGTACTTAACCAAGGCGACAGTTCCACTAACTGTTCCAAGGTAACAGTTCAGTATTCTGGCACATTTGACTTGTGCATGGATCCTTGCTCCTTGCTTGTGTGCCTGGTAAACAGAAAAAATAGCGACTGACATGTGATAGTGGATGAACCCGTGAGAATTTAGGTCTAGATCATGAATATGTATGAGGCATCATAAGTTCTATTGTAACATAAGTGGAGGACCTAATTAATATTAATATGATATCAATATAAAGGAAGAACACTGGAGTTGCGTTACAAAACATTATGTAACACCAGCGTAGCATCGCATCATGCCAACTTTGCAAAAGTTGGGAAAGTTTTGAAAGCGTGGCATCCTGTTGTAATTTGAAATAGTTAGCTTCTCAGCTGTAAGCCATAATGCCTTACAAATACACATTATTCCTGTGTATTTCTCATTGTTTTCAGATTGTTTATGGGGACCACGACCCTAGGAAACACAAGCCAAGTTTCCTAACGTAAGTTCTGTTCAGGATCAAGATGTTGTCAAAGACATGCCAATGATTTCTGTCATAGCAACCGCAACTACCATAGCAATAGCACATAGCAACGGCATGTGATATCTTTTTATGATCATTGCGTAAAGCAAGTTCCCATGGTTGTGGAATATCCTTTTGAAACAGTTGTCTGAGAAAGTCATGAAAATTTAAAAATCTGGGGTGTCCAGGAATCTTCTTGTCAGAGGAAAAAGGTCATGGAAAGTCAGTGAAATCAAGATCAATGAGTATATTTTGATGGGCCGCTTTTGATGTAATAATGGAATAATGATAAATTTGCAGGCTATCCTTGTCAGTCTATAGTAGTGGCTATGGCAGTTTTCAACTTCATAATACCAAACAACTCTGCAAAATGACATTAAATGTCATGAAAATTGTCCCGGAATTTAGTTCTCAGATTTCTTCGGGAACCCTGGTAAAAACTAGATTATTTTCCAGCTCATTAGCACTCTATTTTATAAAGTACAGTTTGACAATTAGTAAGGTTTTAGTAAAAAAGATTTTTTTCTGTCAGTGATCCAATTTTGTTTCTTTGTTGTAGCAACGTCAACCTGCGGCATTTCTTCCCAGCCATCAAGCTGGACACCAAGAGCCAAGGAGGGCGCTCTGTCAACTGGTCGCAGAAGATCATCGCCGAGCACCGTAACGTCACACAGAAGGGCGTCAAAGACGTTACTGTGAGTGGGAATGAGTGTCTGTCAGATCAAGGCCGTGTCCAAAACTGGT